CCCCTGGAGAAGGGGAAAGGGACAAGATCTCCTGAGAAAATTGGGTGCAAATGTGTGTGGGGGGGAGCTAGGAGAATTAGAAGGGGAAAAAAGGAGGGGTGAGGAGAACATGAGGGAGCAGAAAGGTTAGGTAGAGGGAAGAATACAAGAAAACAAAAAGGAGATACCACAATAGAGGGAGACATTTTAGGTTTACAGAGAAATCAGGCACTAGGGAAAAGTCTGGAGATCTACAAAGATCACACCAGCTAACAATCTAAGCAACAGCGGAGAGGCTACCTTAAATGCCCTCCCCTGAAAATGAGATTGATGACTATCTTATATGCCATACTATAGCCTTCATCCAGCAGCTCATGGAAGCAGAAGCAGACACCCACAACTAATCACTGAACTGAACTGGAATCCAGTTGCAGAGAAGAACAAACAATAGGAAAAGGGGTCCAGACAAGGCTGGTGAAACCCTCAGAAACAGCTGACCTGAGCAAGGGGAAGCTCTTGATCCCCAGACTGATAGCTGGGAAACCAGCATGAGACTGATCTAGACCCCAGGAATGTGGGTTTCAGTGAGGAGACCTCGGAATTCTATGGGACCTCCTGTGGTAGTTCAGTACTTATCCGTAGCATTGGTGTGGACTTTGGGAGCCCAATCCACATACAGGGATACTCCATGAGCCAAGACACACAGGGGTGGGCTTAGGCCCTACCCCAAAGGATATGATAGACTCTGATGACCTCCTATGGAAGGCCTCGCCCTCCTGGGGAGCAGAAAGGATATGTGATAGGTAGGGTTTTAATTGGAGAGGGTGGTAGCAGAGGAGGGGAGGTAGTGGGAACTAGGATTGTCATGGAAAACAATCCTGTTTCTAATTCAAATGTAAAACAGAAAAAAAAAAAACTACAATAGAGATTTTACTTATTCGAAGAAAGAAAACATCCACCATAGTAAAAAAGCCACAGTGTCTGTAGAACCTTGGAAAGCAGACTAATGTATACTTCCTAAATTACAGTTAATGCAGAATTTCTTTAGATATAATGAAGTACAAACCAGTTTGCATTCGGTCTCATTAAAAGGAGGGCAAACAAAGGTGTAGTTTAGAATCGTTGCGCCCTCATCAGTCTTAACACATTCATATGTGGTGCAGTTATAGTGCCAGGTTTTCCCCTCCTAAGAATAAAAGAGAAAGTTACTGCTATACATGCTAACATCTGCTATAATCCTTAGAACCCTTAAATTAATTAAATATTTAACCAAACCCAAATCAAGACAGAGTTTCTGGGGACATTAATATTACATTTGAAAATTACATTGTTTTTAACTGTGTCTGAAAAATCTCTGTCTCTTTCTCTCTCTCTCTCTCTCTCTCTCTCTCTCTCTCTCTCTCTCTCTCTCTCTCTCTCTGTGTGTGTGTGTGTGTGTGTGTGTGTGTGTGTGTGTTTGAGAGAGAGAGAGAGAGAGAGAGAGAGAGAGTTTGTACGTGTTTGGTTTCATAATGGAACTGAGAGGTTAATATGACATACAGCAACTGGAAGAAAAGTAACAGAGATATCTCTTTCTACTGACAATCATATAATGACCATGACAAAGGTCTCACTCTGATATTCCTAACTAGTGACAAAACAGCAAACCACACCCCTCACAATCCTCCTTGTTTGGGATTTGTTTTTTTCCTCTTGCTTCCTTATTGCCAGGTTTAAAAGAAAACATTTGCATACTGATGTTGGTTACATTATAACTATAATTTAAAAGTACAGTCAAACTCCTAAAGGTTCCTTGTTAGACTAAAAAAAATAAATGAACTCAAACACTTCTTTTGCTCTAGGTCAGTGGTTCTCAACCTATGGGGTTGAGACCCATTTAGGATCACATATCAGATATCCTGCATATCAGATATTTTCATTACGATACATAACAGTAGCAAAACTACAGTTAAGAAGTAGAAACAAAACCTAATTTTGTGGTTGGGTGTCACCACAACATGAGTGTGGTGAACTGTATTGAAGTGTCACAGCATTAGGAAGGATGAGAACAGCTGCTCTAGGTCCTATCTCAAAACAAATAGCTCCAGATCTTCCAAGAACAACAACGAACAAGATCAGGGGTAATAAAAACAATATTCAAATTCAGAAAATAGTAATAGCCAATATATCAAAAGTAAAAAATTAACAGCTCCATAAAAATACTAATTTGTATTATCCTCATACTTGATTAGATACCAGCCTTTTCTGGACTCATTTCTCACATCTGGAAAATTGTGAGAGTCAAAGTTAAAATTACCGCAGGAAACAATTTAAACTTTTTTTTTATAAAATTCTCAAAAGATATAAAAAGTTTTAAATATAACAAATATATTAATGTGTGGGGAGGTATACACTGTGTGTAGGTGTGCAATGTGTGCAGAGGTGTGGCAGATGATGTTTTTAACAGGAACTGAAAATCCGTACCTCATATATAACTGATGTTCCATTTTCCATATGAAATTTGCAGGATATATTTTTACAGGTTCCACAGCAATCATAATCACTGGGGGCTGGGGTGTACATCTGGTGCTGCACATAATGAACAGGCATAGCATTAGCCACACAGCAACACTAGCATTTCCATGCATTAGTTCTGAAGGTATTCTCTCTGAGCATCTGCAAGCATCTCTAAAGTTGGATCTCAGTAGCTTTGAAGAATAATTTACTTTGTACGCCAACTTACAAATGAAGTAGGTGTTAACCTCTACATCTGCAGGCAACATCCATCAAGCAAGTACAACAATCTTAGGTCAACCAAGCAAGAAAGCTCCCCATAACATCTTTTGAAACTCAAGGTCACTCGTAGTAGAGTGAAAATCTGCATTAAATAGACATCTCATAACATAATAGTGTTGAGGCGCTATTCAATTGTGTAACCCAAAAAGTATTAACAATTTCAAACTCTCTACTTGGAAATGTTAAACTCACTAGGCCCCCAGAACAACTTATAAGAACACTTACAACATCGCATTCTTTTGAACAGTTCACCATTGTAACATTCAGAGTATGAAAGCCTGTATTGTTATCTTTTTCTTCCAGACATTCTATTGTATGACAAAAGTCCCCTTCCAAATACTTTGTCAGAGATTGGCCAGGATTCAATACTGATACTTCTTGAAACACACACACATCAAACCACATCCTTTTTAAAAAAAAAAAAAAAAAAAAAAAAAAAAAAAAAAAAAAAAAGTCAATAAAAAACAAAACACAATGTCGTCTTTTATATTTACCAATCAGTAGAACTTATATTTAAGACTAGATTTTCATTTTGATGGACCATAATTTTCAAAAGCCTATTAAGATATTACAAATATATATCTAGCAACTCAAGGATTCATTTAACAACATCAATAGCACAGCTATCCCTTAATATATGATAAAATATATCTGTAAAATCACTTGTATCAACATATTCCAAAAGATACATTTTATAGAGACTTCCAGAAGTATATGAGGTCTCAGGGATGAGCAAGGTATTTCTGCTCCTTCTCCAGAACACAGTTATGAGCACTGTTAATGTTGAGCTAGACGGATGCAGAGCCTAATGTAGTCATAGCAGTGCCCTTCCTTCATTGTGGGACTCTAACATTCTGTGACTTTAATGATCATTATGCTAATAGAAATTATTCCATTCTTAGTGCTGCCGGGATAATGCACCACTGTATCAAAATGGTGTCACATTAGAGCAGGCTGGGAGAGGGCTGGATGCAACCCAGAAGCTCTCCTTTCTTCTAGGTCTGAGGTTCTGCCATTGTTTTGCTCAAACAAAATTTTGAAGCAATTTAAGCCACTGAAGAAATATTCATTTTGTGAACCCACTATATCTTAGTATGAAAATAAAGTATTTCATGCTTTGAAATGGCAATAGTGATGATAAAACAATGAACAAAAATATGTTCACTATTTTAGATAGCATAGTTTTTTTTTTTATCCATCTCTCATATATTACACCCCGACCACAGTTCCCCTCGTTCCCCTCCCCCCACGTCTCCTTTCCCCCAGATCTATTGCTTCTAGGCATTTTGGCTAAGATCGAGTGTAGATAGCATATTTTAAAGAGACTTTGGGAAAAGAAATAGAGTTCTGGTGTGTAAAATTCATTTTATCGCTTATCAAATTTCCAGAACATTTTGAGATATTACAAAGGAAAAAATGAGAGTAGTCTGTTATAATACTGACAAACTGACTTAATACAGATACCATATTTCTAAAAGAAAATATTTTAAATATAGAGATGCGAAACAGACAACAATAAGAAACATTTATTATTTAAGATTATTAAAAAAAATTACCACAAAGATACTGTACACATCCACAGTCACTCTGAAAGTTTTGATCTATTGTGGCAAATTCTCCCTGTTAGAAAGAAATTATCATGTGACATCATGATCATTTTGAAAATCCACATTATATGTAATTTCACTCGGGTAGACATTTATACTTAACAAGTAAACCTTCTAGTGAGGAAGCTTAAGTTTGCTGAGTATTCAGGGGGAAAATCACAATAAAAATGTGATTGTGGGTTACTCAATTGTATGGGGGAAGTGTGTGTACATGTTTGTATGTGTGGGCACATGTACGTCTTGTGTGTGTAGATGAGAATGTACATGTATGTTGAAACCAGAGGACAACAGGTATCTCCCTTGATCACTCTCCATTTTATACACTGAAGCAAGGGGTCTCACTTGTACTCATCAATTTGCTAGTGTGAACAGACAGCCACCTTGCCCTACAGGCAACCAGCTTGCCCTGGAAATCTCTCTCTGCCTCTTGTGGACAGGAAATACAGGTAAGGTACAGAGGTTCTGTGTTTCCTAACTCTAATCCTTACAGTTGTGAAGTGGACTGACCCAACTATCTCCCCAGCACACAATATTCAACCTTTTGTACTTCAATTTCCTCATCTATTAAATAAATGAAGGCAGACATAATGGTGTTTATGGTTTGTCCTAAATTTCCAATCCTACTAAATGTGTTTGATTCTGAGATTCTAGAGGGAAATTTGGCGGAGAAGAAGCTTGTAGTCAGGGAAATGAGCAGTCCAAAACTCTAAGGTCTACATCCCAGCAAGGCAGCTGTGGCATACACAGAGAGCAAAAGCAGGGAGTCTAGGACAGTGTCTAACAGCCAACTCAGGAGAAGAAATGCAACATGCGGAACTTGGCTCCCTCTTTACTAGTTACAGGAAAAAGTGCACATTACTTTACCAATCTGTGCCGTATTTCCCTCATCTGTAAAGCACATCTAATGATACTGCTGGCCACTTAGCATTATGGAAAGAAATAAATGGACCAGTGTATATAAAAAGGTCAGGATGGAAGCGGCACCCCAAGAGTACTGTATAACCTGTGGCTTTTAGCAACTTTTTTGTCATGACTGAAACTCAAACCTCACCCTGTTGGAAAATGGTTTAACACCCTGTGAGCTGGTGGTTCTCAATCTGTGGGTCGCGACCCTTTGGGGTCTAACAACCCTTTTACAGGGATCCACTAAGAGCATTGGAAATATCAGATATTTACATTATGATTCACAACAATAGCAGCACTACTGTTATGAAGAAGCAAAAAATAATTTTATGGTTGGGGTTCACTGCAACGTAAGATCCATATTAAAGGGTCACAGCATTAGGAAAGTTGAGAACCACTGCTCTAAGCTATCATAGGTCCAGGCTTACATTTTCAAGTATTTTCTCGGAAGCATTTCCTTTCTACAGTGCCTTTAATCTTCATAAGACATATCAATAAAATGAATTTGACTCTTCATGTAAATAATTTATTCATATAAATTCACACCACTGTCTTAAAGTTAATTTTCCTCCAAGCTAATACTTTACATTTCGTTGTGCCTTATAAATTGTAACTTCATGTGTCCATTCATTTGTTGTTTTATGACTTTAAGGACAATTACAAGGAGATTGGAAATAAAATTTTCTAATGGAACTTAAAAAAAACTATTACACATCTCCATTTTAATAATCAAAGGCATAATTACACACAGCTTTTACTCAAAAGCTCAAATATCTATTTTGTAATATTCCCTCCTTTGTCTGGTTCTTTTCAGACCATACCCACATATTTATTTGTAGCTTTATCTCTTAAGGAACCAACTCCACCAACAGCAAATGTCTTTAGTATTTACAAGTTCTTGTTTCTTTTGTTTTGTTTTTTTGTTTTGTTTTGTTTTTTGGAGACAGGGTTTCTCTGTATTGCTTTGGAGCCTGTTCTTGGCTGGCCTTGAACTCACAGAGATCCGCCTGCCTCTGCCTCCTGAGTGCTGGGATTAAAGGCATGCACCACCACCGCCACCAGGCTTATTTACCAGTTCTTAACATTACATCCAATAAGATCACTGGTGTGCTCCTGCATAAGCATCACAGGCCTTTAAGGTTAGTAGAAAACTCTATCATCTTGGGTTGTTTTCAGTCTTTGGCTAGTATGATATTCAAGAACAAGTTTCTGTGTGACATCATTTTCTTTCTTGTGGGTGAGTTGTTGGACCAAGTGGTACCTCTGTCTAACCGAGTGAACTATTACACTGTTATTGAACATGTGTGTGCCATTTTCCACCACCACAAGCAGTATATAAGTGGTTCTCATATCTCCTATCCTTTCAATATGTGTTACAATCCAACTTTTTCAAAGTGGACACTAAGTCATTCTCATTGTAGGATTGGTTTGCACTAAACTGAAAGCAAATGATGATTAAGTATCTTCTGGACAAGCAGCAATGCTCTGGTTGGGGTAATCATGACTAGAATTCTCCAAACCTACTCTAGAATTCTCCAAACCTACTCTGAATTGTTGCACTGGGTACCGGAGTAAAGGCCAAATACACAATGTGTACACACACACACACACACACACACACACACACACACACACACACACCTTTTGAATCCCGACCTCAATCAATCATTTACCCTAATAAGCCTTAACTTCCTTATTTATAAAATGAGATAAAAATCCAGTTCATGAAGATTGATGTTAAGTAAGAGCTTGAGAGATGTAGAAGTCATGATCCTACTTTTATGCAAATGTACTTATACTACACACAAATCAGATGAAAACTTTTTTATGAAATCTGTGGTAGCTAAACTAGGATCTTCAGCGACATAATATTAGAGATTAAACTGTCTGTTAAACAAGTAAGCATTACAGTGCATCATATTTTATGCATCACTTTTTTGACAGATCTTACTATGTAACCCTGATTGGTCTAGAACTCACTAAGTAGACAGTTAGCCTCAAATTCACAGAGATCCACCTGCCTCTGCCTCACAAGTACTGGAATTATAGATACGCAACACCTTGTAAGGCCACTTTCTTAAAAAACATATAAAATGTTAACTATCACGTAATGTCATTATTTTAATGTATTTCAATATAACAAGAACAATTCAATTAATTTTCAGTAATTTGGAAACAAGGCAGATAAAGGGAAAAGATACCAATTTGAACAACATAATAAGGCAATCAAAATATATATTCTTACCACTTCACAAATTGGTATGACAAGATTTTCACAGTTGCATTCTAAAAGGCAAGAATCAACATGTTTACCTGAATCAAAATACATCAATCCATTACTACAAAATTTTAAAATATGAAATGAGTTACCACAATGCCAGTTTGGGCAACACTGTCCAGACACATTTTCTTTCACCAGATCCATATCTTTTGTACAGTTAAGTAATGGTGGAGGACACAGATTCGGCTCACAAACTAGGAAGAAAAATCAAACGGATAAATATGAGAAGATGAATCTCATGAACTTGCCAGTCATTAGTTTGCTGTCATTACCAAGGCAATGCAGGATTTCTAGTCCCCAGAGGTTTCTTCTACTTTTCACTGCAATGTGCACCTATGGATAGCATGAATTAAGCCATAGTTGATCTACCTCAGTTCTTCCAGTAAACCTCTGACAAAGGAGCCTGAGTTAACAGCACCACTGAACTTCTTAAACATCTCTCTCTTTTGGGGCTTTTCATTGACACATTAAAATATTTTAAATTAGTTAAGGTGGCCTTACCACAATAGTACTGTGGACAACATAAATGTGTAGTATTCAGATCCACTGTGAGAAACTCCCCATCAGTGCATTGTGGAGTTGGTTCTGTGCATGTTTCACAAACTAAAGAATAA